TCATCTTGAAATTGTACAGTCTCATGTGTTTTTGGCACAATTGATGAGTCACTGATAAAAGTAAAAAGGAGGTTACAGTCATAGATGCTCAGACAAACTGATAGTGTGTGTAAAAAGAAGGTTACAGCCCTACATGCTCAGACAAACTGATAGTGTGTGTAAAAAGGAGGTAACAGCCATAATGCTCAGACAAACTGATAGTGTGTGGACTCGTACGTCAGATGGCATGTTCAGGGTTTATGGCAAAAAGATCGAATGCCATTGCACCAAATTGTTTCAGACAATAACGTTTTGTTTCGTACTAGTGAGACTTAACATGTGTCACGCAAAGGTTTTTGAAAAACTCATTTCCTGTTGTTTTTGTGTTCTTTTTCAGCACCACCAACAGAATCCACCCCACCAACTGAAAGCACTACAGGTAGGCTGTGGCTAGAGAAACAATTGTTTCATTCTGATTGATTTACTTGATACAAGTTTTTAATGATTGGCACTGCAACTGTGTAAGCAAGCTATTATTTTTAATGGTTTCTCTCTGTTTTTGATATTGGAATAGGGCTGTTTTAAGAATGTACCCTAAGAAATAAAAAAAATAATAAAAAAATAAAGGATTTCATTCCAGTGTTATGCGGGTATTGGCCCAAGTCGAAAAATGTTTCCATAGATTCATTGTGATTTGCAGTTTGCTTGTCACAATGATACCATCATCTATATTTCCAGTTTAATGAAAAAGTGCCAGTGACAAAATGTTTAAAGGATGCCTTTCAAGTAAAAGGCTTAGTCATTATTTACTATGTCTACGAATGGAGCACAATCAAATGAATATACCCTCCACCCCCTCCCTCCAAACATTAATTAATATATAAAATCTGTGAATATTTTTGTTGTCAAGAAATGTATAGCTGGGAACCATGAAAACAATATTTTCCAAGAATTTAGCATTGAAGACTCAACTTTGAAAAAACTAATTCTAATTCAAAAGTTGGCAGCATGCCGCACGACAGTATTTTACGTGCTTTTGATCCTAATTTATTATGCATGTTTAAAAAATGAAAAAGTCTGAACAAAGACACTGTGTGTAAAATCTCTACAGGATCTGATTTATGAAGATATGTGGTCAGAAAAGGCTGAACATCTCCCACATTTGTGTAGATTGTTACTAGAACATTTGTCTTTTTTGTTTCAGGAGTCTCAATTTTCTGGTATCTACAATTGTCCTCAACCTTATCCCCACCCATCCCACTATTTTTCTCCATAACGGATGAAAAGATTAATGCTTTTTTCTAATTCACTACTTTGATTTTCCGCCTGACCCTTTTACATCTCTCTGTGTCTCCCTTTCCCTCACCCCACCCCCACCTCTCCCAAGAGAAATGTTCGCAGTTCTCTTTAGAAAAAAAAATACTAAGCTTTGCCTCTGTGTATTTGCAGGTCCACCTGAGGTGTGTGAGGAAGGCTCTGTCCCAGTCAACGACCAATTCTTCGGTCCTAAACTTGGAGCCAGCAGCCCATCACCTTCTGAGAAAGTGTTCAGTAGCCCACCTGGTGAGGAGATTGTGGTGACCCTGGCAATCAACGAAAATCAAGTGGTTGAAGCAGACATTGAGACCGTCATACTGTCCGTACAAGACGCCGACTTTGAATCTGCAACAGTGGAAACTGATAAAGGATCATTCCCTATTACAGTAAGTCAGTACTTCAACAGCTGTTTTGGGGCCAAGTCATCTCTTTTCATCAAGTCTTTTCATTTGTTGATACTCATGAATGGAGTAAAAATTCCTACTTCTCAGTTTTACCTACCAGCAATAAGATATTTCCCCCCCTAGTTTTATGGAATAGGCAACTCTGATTTATATTGAGTTTTTCTTCAGTGTCTTCATATGTGAGGCATCGAGGTGAAATCAGGCGCTCATCAATTTTTGGACGTGTGAAGTTATTGGTATCGCTCTAACGCTTGTTCATTTGCTTTGCCTTTGATGAAAGAATTACCCTTTTATCTTGAGTACAAGTCGAGATATTTGCGACTGAATGAGGGGGGTCGCTTGGTTTCAGAGATAAAATTAGTGAGAAAATTGCTGCAAAAGTTTGGTTATTTACAAAGCCTCAGAGTCCTTGGAAACTGACAATTTGCATGTGTATGCCTTTAATATTTATAGCTAATGACAAAATACAAACATTTTGTTGTAATACTTTGAGGCTACTTTTGAGCAGTCAACATATGAAGCTATTTCTGTCTTTCATTTAGAAGAGGAAATAAATTGGTGACTCAGCTCTTTTTTTAGCCTGCTATCTTCGATTTGAGTTCCACATTACACATCTTTAGGAAGCTTTATCAGTCATTGGTGTTTTGTTGATTGTTACACAATGAAATGATAATGTGTTCTTCCATTTTTGTTCCAGCCTGGCCCAGACTCCACACCAAGTCAACTTGTATTTGAAATTGTGACAGATGATTCCACTGAATCAATTGAGTTGAAGTTCACCAGTACTGGACAAGATTCTCAAGTGGAATTTGTCGGCGCTGTTGGCTGTGTTAAAGGTGTGTTTACTTTAGAACAATTAATTGTCGCTCAGTGGTTCCCAACTAAAGTTTTAACTGTTGAAATTTGTGTTCGAGGAAAAGACTGGAGATGAAGTAAGATTTTTGCGAATGTGGATTTTTCGGCTATGAGCAAACACTTTGTTTGGCTCACTTGCTCACTTTGCTAATCATATACCGCCTGGAAGAAGCAGTAGGATGATAACGCCCCATTTCTGTTTCTCTGCAATAATCTATAGAGTCCATGCATAAAGTGAGGTAGCGGTCCTATCGGAGACGGACGTTAAACTAGGAGATCCCGCCCTTTAAATAACCTAACAGTCTTGATTGGGGCGTTAAACCCATACCATTTTTCACCAAAGTGAGATATTGTTAAGAGCTCTGTTATATGTAATGTCTAAATGGAGGTATTTTGACCAAAGTGAGGTATTGTTAAGAGCTCTGTTATATATAATGTCTATATGGAGGTATTTTGACTGACATAGTCATGTTTTTGTGGATATATGTCGTCACCTCCCAAAAAAATGGCCACAAGACATTGATTGGACCTGGCCATATGTTCTGTGGTAAACATGAGAGAAGTACAGCAGTTATCAATTAGCAATAAATATAGATCTATATGTGAGACAGCGTGGTGGAATCAGGCTCTCGTCAATTTTTGGGCATATTGAGTTATTGGTATCATCTTAAAGCTTGTTCATTTGTCTTGCTTTTAATGAAAAAATTACCCATCCATCTTCCAAAGAAGAGGAGATATTTTGGATTGAAGGAGGTTGGGGGTAATCTGATTTAAGAGGTAAAATAAGCGAGAACATGGCCGCCAAAGCTTGGTAAATTCCAAAGCTGCAGCGTCCATGGAAACTGTAAATGTATATCTTTGTGCCTTTAATCAACGTTTTCGGTGAAATCCTCGAGGGAATGTGTTTGTAAATGGACATAAAAGGTGTTGAACCAAAAAACCCAAAATTTGATAAAAACTGCTAAGCAGGGAGAAAACTGCTGTTTTCTTCGATTTCATTATTTTGACGAGAGCCTGATTCCACCACGCTGCCTCACATATTTGTTTTTCTTTTCTCTCCATGTTAGTCTAAAAACTTATTCATTCGCTTTCTGAATTGACTTTTGAATTGTAATACTTGAAATGTGAATCATTTCAGTTGAAAACTGCACAGAGTATTGCAACGGTGAATGCACTGATGGAGTGGATCTGTGCCTGACAGACTGTGCTCCTGAGTCTTGTGGTAAGTGAAGGCTACATGATAGTTAGCACAAAGTCAAAATAATGTACGACTCGGCATAACTTTCAACTGTTTTCTGCTACGAGCATCAGTCAACATTGCTTTGTTTTACTTTGCTTTTCGTTGTGAATAGATGCGAAAATTTTAACCTGTCCACAAATCTTAGTGCAAGGACAAGACATCTTTTGATGACCGATGACAGTTAAATACAGTGTCACACCAATAGGCCTGTACACAGAAGACTCGAAATCACACATCCGTCGAACTGGGCCAGCTGTCCCATTTTATTTTTTTTCTTTATCTTTGTAAGATATCCCTCGAACTGCAGACGTCCCGAACCAACGAGGTCGGTCCCGACGAATTTAAGCTATCTGTGTTATACTGTATTATAACTGTTCAAGTCTGACATTATGCTGTTACTCTATATCTAATCATTATTTGTTCCCCCTGTCAATCAGAAACCACCCCAACAAGGACAACAAGCACAATCAAGCCACCAACACGTGAGTTGCTCCTATTTCTGTTCAGGAGTGTTTTGAATTATAGTTTTAAAACTCAAATATTATGGACGTGCTTTTTAAAAATCAAAATCTTGAAATAAACTGGAGGTTTATAAGACAGTGTTTTTGTAAGACTTTAAGTAAACAAAAAAAATCTAGTTTCCGCAATTGTCAATAAATGGTTAATAGATTTACACTTCCAGCTAATTTCTTTTTTCTCATCTCAATGAAATTTTCAGTACGTGAAAGCAGACATATTAGTCAAAGTGGTGTTTTTGTAGGTAAGTAGTTAACCTTTTTGAAAAATGGTGTTTAATATACAACCTATTGTTGCTTTCCTTGCAGCGGTGACCCCATGTGCCCTTGCCATGGATCCTATCCAAGTGACTCCTGCCTCACCCTCACCAAACGATGCTCCAGAAGAGCTTTTTGAGCTCACTCCTGATGTCAACGAGAACTTTGTCGATGAAGTTTCCGTCTCCAACTTGCCCCCAGGAGAAACAGCATCCGTTCTCGTACCATCTGCAACATTCCCCTCTCTGGTAAGAAACTTTTGTTGTTGTTGTTGTTGTTGTTGTTGTTGTTGTTTGTTTGTTTTTTAAAACTAATTCTTCTTTTATATACTTACTTTACTTTACTTTTTTCTTCCGCTTGTACCCTGGGGTGTCGCGGGGAGACACAGGTGTCTGTCTGCAGCAAGTCGTGTGGCCTGTAGGAGGGACATCCCATGATCTTCAAGGGTGTTTGCCACAGATTCACTCCATCGTCGCCTTGGTCTTCCTCTGGCTCTCCATCCAGAATATTTAATTTTGTATGCTCTCAGAGCTGGATGGTTTGAGGGCATCCGCGTGAGGTGTCCGAACCACTTGACCTTTTGTTTTTCAATGTGTGGTAGGACTGGTGTTGCTCCCACGGTGTCCCTTATGACTTCATTTTTAATTTTGTCTCTTCTTGTTTTGTTGACCGCTCTTCTTAAGCATTTCATCTCGCATGTGACCAGTTTCCTCTCTAGGGCTTTTGTTAGAGTCCATGTCTGGCACTGATATGTGAGCGTTGGAAGGAAAATGGCGTTGATGAGCTTCGCCTTGGTGCTCATGGGGATATTGGGATGTTTCAGGAGAGGGCCCAGTTGGTAGCTGACTGCCTTGGCTCTCTGGCATCTAGCTTCTATCTCTCGATCTAATTTTCTCTTTTCTGTGAAAATGCTGCCAAAGTATTTGAATTCTCTGCTTTGTTTTAGTTGGGATCCATTGATGTTGATATCCACTTTACCTGGTCTCCTGCTAATTGTCATGACTTCGGTCTTGCTTATACTGATCTTCATGTCATATTTTTAGCAGCTCGCATTTAGTTGGTTTATATGCTCCTGTAGTTGAGTCTTGTTGTTAATCATTGCCAGGTCATTTGCAAACATGAGTTCGTTGAGTGCCTCTGGGTCTGGATTGGCCTCTTTTGTTATCTGGTCCATGTAGATCACGGAGAGCAGAGGGGAGAGATTGCAGCCCTGTCTCATTCCGGATGCTACTGGAAACCAGTCCGATGTTCCACTGGTAGTTCGGACAGCGCTTCTGCTGTTGGCATAGATAGCCCTGATGTTGTCTAGCAGTTGTCCCTTGATGTCGTACTGCTCTAAGATCTTCCATAGCTTGTTTCTATTTACTCGATCAAAGGCTTTTTCTTGATCCACAAATACGAGGTGGAGATCTTTGTTGTATTCCAAAGCCCTCTCACACAGTTGTCGGAGTGCGAAAATTGCATCAGTGCACCCTCTTTCTTTTCTATAGCCAAATTGGGCGTCACTGAGAAGATGTTCGGTTTTTGCGCGAGTACATGAACAGACTAAAGAAGCTGAAAATATCTTCCAAGGCCGTATAAAAACGGTGACATGGCTAACACATCTCAATTTGAGTTGCATGTTGATGGGTCTACCTCAGAGAGATTCTGTTGACTGCGCATGTCTGAACAGAAACTCTTTTGCTACCTGTCTTCTGGGTGAATGTAAAAACACATCAGAATCACAATGATTTTTTTCTGTGAAGTCTTGTATTTATTTTAAAATTCAGTATTGTGGCATATATTTATATTGTCATAGTCCTTGAAATTAGCATGTCTCGGATCAAAGAAAGGGCAGAATCATAAGATTGAATATCCCTTTGCCGTTTATTACATTTAGAGTTAGATTTTTACATCCTGAAAAATTTAGGATTTTCTTGTTCCCCACTTTCTCTGTCTTAAAGTATCAAAGTCTTTTTAACTTATTCTTTGGTGAATGGTGTTGTTTTGTACAGAAGAGGATATTATCTTTGATGTATGAAAGTACGGTAGCTAACTATTACATCTTTTCTTTTTCAGCCAATTGATGGAAATGGAAACCCAGTATTTGTCGTTGTTACTCCAGGTTAGTATTTTATTATTTTTATTTTTTAAAACTTGATTCTTCTACTTTTATAGAAGCAAATGTTTGCTCATGAGCATTGTACTACCAGATGAGAAAGGCGTTTGACATCATCATGACTTATTTTTCTTCCTCATAGCCCTGTACTGCAAGAATAACATTTCCAGTAAAATTAGCAATAACGTTAAAGCTTCTTCTAAAGATTGTATGAGAACAGAGCAGTCACAATTTGTCCTGTAAGACAGGGGCCAAGCACCACATTCTTCTGAAAGAAAGGCACAGTTTACAAACAGCACTGCACTTATCTGAATAAGCCGTTTGGATTTTAAAAACTGTTTTGATCATGTATGTATATATATATTTATATTGGATGAATGGATGAAAAGAGTGATGTTTAGTTTATTATTAGTAAGGTTTTTACGGCGCTCACAACTGCATAAGGTCATATGAGCGCCAAGGGGTGGATGTCAACAGAGAAGTCCAAATGGGGAATCAGGCTTACTCTGCTCACCTCTCCAGCCTCAACAACACAAAGTCTGCTTCGACTTTCAAGGCATCCAGGAAATAGCAGTTCACAAGAGAGTGACAAACATACAGAAGAAGTAGAGGGAAAATGACGATAGTAAGGATGAAGGGAAAAAAGCAGCAGTTCCCCCTATGTTGTTCCAGCACAGTATGGGCATGACATTGATAAATCAGCCCATTTACAATTCTACTGTGCATAGGAACATGTTCATAACCTCCATTTGGGAATGGCCTAAAAACATCTTCAGTCAGTAGCGTAGCACACTGCCCTGGTGGGAGAGGGGAGGTGAGAGGGAGAGGGAGAGGGAGAGGGAGAGAGAGAGAGAGAGAGAGAGAGAGAGAGAGAGAGAGAGAGAGAGAGAGAGCAAGGGAAGGAGGTGGCGGGGGGTGGGAGGTGTTTAATAGAACACTTACGGTCCAGGAGTCCTGTGTTAGCGAGCAGACAGATATATAGGGGGGTCTGTTACACAGGTCATACACACACACACACACACACACACACACACATACACACACATACACACACACATACACACACATACACACACACACATACACACACACATACACACACACATACACACACATACACACACATACACACACACATACACACACACACACACACACATACACACACATACACACACACACACACACACACACACACACACACACACACACACACGCACACACACACATATGCGCACGTGAGCGCACGCACGCACGCACGCATGCAGGCTTAGACTCACGCCCAAACTTGCATACTTTTTCACACATCCTCTCTTCCACATACATCATACACATACACACATAACGTATGCTTGCACTTAGTGTACCATAATGAAGCGTGCTGACAAAATGAGTTACTCCTCGGATTCAAGCCATAAGGAAATAGATACATCACGCTTATAGGTGAAGTTTTTACAATTTGTAAGTATGAAATAATAAAAGACAAGTTATAGTTTAAAAATATTGCATCAATAGAAAATCTACAAATTTGACCCTAATGTAGATTTTTGGCCAATCTCTATTTTATGGATTATGAAAAGTAACTCATTTTGTCAGCACGCCTCACATATCATAGAAAAATGTATAATTTGGACATTCTCGTCTTTCACAGATTTCCTGGAAAACAACGTGAATCCCGTTGTGATCTATGAATACACTTCAAGTGATGGCTCCCCAGTGATTGTTGCCAAAATTATGACTGAACCAGGGAAACAATTGGATCTTCCTTTTGTCGCCGATATTTATGAGCCAACAGTAAGAACTCACAACGTTTCTTTTTCCCCCCCACTAAAAGTCTTCTATTCCATTGTGCGTGTGTGATATATGAAGTACAATAGCTCAGATAGTTTGGAAAACACGAGCTCTAGATTAATGCTACGACATAAGGAGCCAGTCCTACCACCACAGTACAGAAGGGCACATGTGCTATGACTACTATGGCGTCGGTGGCAAAATGGTTAGGCTCTCAGACTTGCAACTGCAAGGTCGTGGGTTCGAATACGGTCAGGAACCCGATGTCCTTGGGAAAGACGCTTTACACGAATTTTCCTCACTTCACCCAGGGGAGAAGGGTACCCAGCTATAGACAGTGAAAGATCTTGTCAGTTTGGTAGTGTTTGAGCACTTACTCAGCTGCTTGCACTGTATGCTTCCCGGCACACAATGTTGGACCTACGGTATACGAAGGGGTTGAATTGTGTCAGTTTATTCCAGGGAGTACAAATTTCATCACAACAAAGGGACAATACCTTTACTCAGAGGACACAAGAAGCAAAGACTGTGAAACTGTGGTTAAATATTTGAAATGCTCTCCCTGGATACTTCAATTATTGATTATTCCAAGGTTGAGTTCGATGGACACTTGTCATTTGTCCTCTGAAAAAGGAAAGTGGTGAAAATTGTGAGAGCAGTTTTGCCAATAAGACTATATCTGTCTCTGGTGGTGACCACATCAACCAATTAGATCCAATTTGTAAGTTCACATCAATGACAGAGTAGGCAGAGCTAATCGCAGAATATAGCCATAGATGTTCAGAGTTTGTGGGGCCTATCTAGTAATGACAATAGTAGTGAGGATTCCCAAAGTTCTCAACAGTGTAGGGAATTTTCTTTGAATTTGCTTTGGTACAAACAATTTTGCTAAGTACAAATTGGATGGGGTAAAATAACAGACTTGATAATATGTTATTCCATAGAATTTTTAAATGAAATGTCTCTCCACAGGGGTAGCGTCGGTGGCCTAGTGGTTAGGCTACGGGACTTGTAATTGTGAGATTGCGAGTTCGGGGGTTCGAGCCTCAGCTCGGTCCGACGTTGTGTCCTTGGGAAAGGCCCTTTACACGAACTTCCCACTTGGCTCGGTCCTATCGGAGACGGACGTTAAACTAGGAGGTCCCGTCCCTTAAATGACCTAATAGTGTTGATAGGGGCGTTAAACCTATACCATTTCACCATTTCTATACCTTTTCTCTTTCACAGGAATTCAACAGCAATGACCCACTTCCTGAGATTGCTGGACGTGTTATTCTTCTGGCGCCTAATGGAGCTTCAGTTTCTGTCAAGGAATGTGCCGGTAAGAATTCAGAAACCCTAAGCATGTGTGTGTCTCTGTGTGTGTTAATGTGTTTGCATGTACATGTCGGTGTACCTATGGGAATAGTGAATGGATTTAGTGCCACTGACCAGGGCTTGGTACCTCAGCAGGTAAGCGGTTAGCCTGTCAACCTGGAGATCTAGAGTTCAGTCCACACACCAGCATCGGGGTTTTCTTAAGTTCTTCTACCCCCCCCCCCCC